GAGAAGTGTTTCAATTGTAAGCAGTGGTTTAATTACCGAGAACCACGGCGCGGTTGCGACGCCAAATGACGTCATTTCTTTGTGCCTTCGCTGTACTGTAAAGACAATAATGCACATTAACTCTTTGGTCTAGATTTCCTTGTATGATTCTGCTTTAGAGTTGGAACACGAGGACAGTCCAGCGAAGTTTAGCAATCAATAAAGATCAATTACTTAATCACCTAACTCGTTTTGCGTGCAACTTTCATCGCTTTATACATTTTATTGTATAATTTCAACTGAATGTCTGAGCTTCCAATTGCACGTTGCACAATTGAACCTTTCGCGCATTTCGCTATGATTAGCTTAAATTTTACTTACGAATTGCTTGAAGAGGTCAAAGATGTACTCAGTTATTTTAGTTATGTTTACTGAAACGTTTGTTGCTCTTTAATTATTCGTTTTATAATAGGGTACATAATAGCACAGTTGACTGTTTATCATAAAGCTACAATAAACATACACTTACATACAGCTATTTATGACTTCATACTACTTTACTTATGTGACATATTACTGTACCTCGGAATTTTAATTGTAATTGCAATATAAATTGTAGTTTCCACATACTTTTAATCTCCTTGCTACAACAAGTAAGATACATAACCGGACTCCCGCGCAAGCCTCTCGTAGCTCTCGCTCGCACTCTGGCGTCTACATACTTGGCGCCAAAGCCTTCATCATCTGTTATCTTTGTCGCTCGCGTGCGCCTGCGCAGCCTGTCACTGCGCGGTTACTCCACGTACAGTCGTACATGACGCCTCTCTACCGGAGCGCACGTCGCGTGTTTATTTTGTATTAAAATCGAACTAAAACGCTTTATAATAGACGAAAGATATTTCCACAAACCTGGATTATTGTGTGCAATTGTCATAAAGTGACTATAGAAAAGTGAAAGTGCAGTGTTTAGGAGAAATGTGTCAGTGTTAAAGGTCATTATCATATAAAATCGTGGCCTAATCAAGTGAACGGTATTGTATCTATATTGGATGTGGTTTTATAGTGAATTGGTTACTTGTTAGCCTTGTAAACGACAGCTCTTCGACGTCTCCAACTAAATATACAAGTGTTAATTTATTTAAATGTGACGATACAACCCTGTGCGGCGATAACGTTATGCGAATTTCAGGGTCGCGTTCTATTCGCTTATCGAAACTAGAAATTAAATCAATCAGTCAGACTTGTAAAATTTCGATTAATTGCCTCACACGGTACATAAAACTTGCGCCATGCTACGTAGACGTAATATTCCTGTATATGTTCGTGTCTAATCTATTAGCTCAACAAGTGCCTATGATTCTGAGAATGTTTACATGAAATGGACTAGTTCTTGTAAAAACATATAGCCTATCCTTTGGAGTTAATTCAAGAAATATATTTAAACAAATTACTCCTTTGCACACAAAAGAAGATTCGAACTTGATAGATTCATGTGATTATATTGAAGAGGATTTTGAGATTATCATGCAATGTGCATATAATGCATTATAACAATATAGTTCAAATGCGATGATAGTGAATGACTGTCTCATGTCTAAACTACCATTTCTTAATCCAATATTTTGCAAACCAACTATAAAACAAGTTTTGTGATCAATACACGAACGCCTTTTCTCAATATCGCTTGTCATGCAAATCGCAATAGAACAGTTGTTTTAATAAATGCGTCACTAATTATAACAATTGTATGTCGCCCATTATTCACCCACACATCGACAAATTCGTACTCCACCTTGCGATACAGATGTATTTGCCAAACAAGACGCCTGCGCAGAACATTGTCATACGTGTTCTCACTGTCCTTGTTAATAAAGTACAAGTTACTCCCACAAATCCTGCCTGCCTTTGTTCTAAAGTCTAAATGATCCTTAATACCATATGCATGCGAAATTAGTTCGTATTCACCCGACTTCGTAAAGGTGAAATCACGAACATTTGCATAGAAATGTTCGTGTTACGGATGTGGCTATTTTATTGCTGGTCCCATGAGAATTTTCTGATTTCTTCATCAAACGCCGGTCTACTCCTTAACATGAAATCCTAATTTCAATTTCCGTTGCAACGTATCATTTTCGATTTCTTAATTCTCTGTAGCTTTGCACATTACTGGCGAACAGCAACTACTAACCCCTGGAAGGAAAATAACTAAACATATGTTCTAATACTCTCATTTCTTGTCTTCACCCAACTATTCACCTACCTCCGTCTTCTATCAAGTAGTTCTTAACAAAATTATGATTGACATTGAGTACAAAAAAGTTTCAATATGGTAACCTTTAAATGGGGAGAAATCGATTAGTGTCAAAGTGAGTGGTCAATGTGCAACATATTTGCAATGATCTTAAATATATTTAAGGCCACACTGAACTAGTTCTGAATAACGTTTTGTAAAACAAGTAACCATGTTATTTGTTTGACCCTTTCTCCGTACGTTCATTAGTCATCATTGCTAACGTGATGCTGTAAGGGCTCCGATAGTGTATCGATAAATCACACATCCGAGTTTATCGCCGAGCTCACTCACACAATGGTTTGTTGCAACAGTAATTGAATTAGATGTTACGAGTTGAACGAATCGATTGTGGCGTCGATAACTCCGATTAATTGAATAGAACGCTAGAGTTCATCACACTTGCGTTATGATAAGAATTGATCTCATTTCTTTGACTCGGATCACATCTCAGTGACATTTGTTATCTAATTATGTAATTGTTTATTTCGTACAAGTAACTTTATTACAAAATTAAACTGTTCTTAACTCTTATAAGTCCTTGAGTTCCAAATACAGTGAAGTAATGCTGCAATGTTAAGAGAACGCATGATTTAAATTCGTAATTGAGTTACTCAATCCTAACAATCCTATCTCGATGATATACACGTTCATATGTTTGTGGAGATAATCTAATAGTCTGATGATAGATGTATCTCCTTGTAACAATTTCAAAGAATGTATTAGCTTGCATTACAATAGGTAATTGATACAACGTTGAATTCTACAGAATTAGGGGTTCCGCTTAGTGTTGCAACACCGATTGTTTGTAGCTTCACACCTTGGCAACCGCAATTACAAATAAATTAGTTCGTATGCACCATATGGGTGATAGCACAGTACAATTATGTCACAATCAAACAATAGTTTTAACGTAGCTGACATTTGGGGTAATCGACTAATCTATAATTGAGTGCTTTCAATTATCATAAAGATCTTTTTTTGCATTACATCTCATTATTTGAGTCACCACAAACGTTAATCAAATCAAATGTCTTTATTTGCTGAACAGAGGTGTAGTACATAATTAGTGACTAAGGTGTTATTTATTTTTGTTACATATTGTATCTCTTTGTTCTACCCGTTGGGCATGCAAATCTTGGGTATGTCTCAACCATTGTAAGCATTAATGAAATTCACAATCAGTCAATATATGTAGGTACGAGTCAAAAATATCTTAAATGTCGATGATTATAAAACCACTTTTCTAAAAAAAACAGTTGATGTTTAAACTTTAAGCCAATTTTAAAATTATCTATTCTATAACCAAGTAGCTACATAAAACTAAGTCCTGAGTACCTAGTTCAAAGAAAAATAATTCGTACAAGGTCCCTGTCGTAAGAGTGTGAATAACACTGTCTTGTACAGAGAACAGATCCGCCTCTTGAATAGCCTTATTCGGAGAAACCGTGGCGAAACAACGATGCTGACACGACTGTTATGTATCTTATGACGAACTGACGAACATACTCCAACCTTTGTAACAATACCGAGGTGATAGCCTCTTGACGTCATGTTTCATGCGTTGGTTTGCAAATATCATATCAATTTTAAGTAAACGCGGATGGAAAGAGGACTCTATTACTAGAAGTTTAGTACTTTTTTGCTACTATAGGTTTTAGCTTGCTCAAATTGCAATGGTCAAAAATACTTGCCTTGCCCATTGCCCAAATTGCGTCCTCCAAGGATACAAATACAGCAATTTAAGTAAGCTTACTCTATTAGTTCAAATCTAGAATACGTGCTTTTAGTCATCATTAAGTTGGTAATTACAAACCCGATCTATGAATTATACAAGACCTCGTGCTTTGCAGTCACGCTGAGATCACTAGAACAACGGAACAGTTTAGGAAACTTCAACGATTTTAAAGTTTTATTGACCAAAATCTTTTTTTCATTACAACAACGACTAAAAGACATGTTTTATAGAAGAAGGTAGTGTCGCAAATCTCGGATCTTAATTAAGCGGGAAGTAGTTAATTGATTTGATAAAAAGGCGATATTTTCTCACAGTGTGGTACACGAGCAGCGCGGGTAGTTGTAACTGGATCGCTACCTCACATGTGAGAACCTCTCACGGTTCATGAGCACCGACTTATTGAAGCCACATTTGTTATTAAATATACACTTTTCCTATTCACTGTCTTTTTGTTTTACCGAGATTTCTGTAAGAAAGCTTTCATGTAAATTACAGAACATATTAGTTCTTGTATTATAACTTTCGTGAGACATACTAAATATATTATTATGTTTTCGGCTTACACGCGTAATTATTTGACGAGGAACTCGACTAGTTTCAAGCCATACTAGAGGCTCATATTCATGATTAGCATTTCGCGACCCGCGACGCGGCGACTGTCGCGCTACTACTCAATCAAATAATAGTCAAATAATTACGTAATACATATTAGTTCTTATAAACTTCTCGTACCTAATGCTCTAAAAATACACCAGCCAGTTCTTGGCACCTAATTTGTTAAAGCCGATATATGAAATCTTACGCTAGAGCCTAAAAATTCTAAGACTGGTTTTATTTTGACATGATGTAATGCACAATAATAACACCTGCACGTAAAAAAATGAGCCAACCAAGATTAGTAGTCCTCAATCTACACTAATAAAGCATACAAATGTAGCTATAATATTAGCAACGTTTATAAATGTCACAATTTCTATACTAAAGTTCAACTAATTCACACGCCACTAATGGTAAATCTAGAATACAACCAAATTCGCGTGTGTGGCCGCGTGGGCGCAGTTTTTCGGTTTTCCTTATGAGGCGACCTTAACTCACTTCTGAGAAGTCGAAGCTTTGAACTTTTATAGTGTTCGTTGTTTTAACTATACGTAACATGAATGAATCAGCGGTTTCGGATGTGCAAGCAAATAAATTAACATATTTAAGGGGATATAGTTTACACATTTGGTGAAGAAGTCGGTACATGGGAAACGGATTACAATATATTTATAGATACAGGCCTAGTTCTAATAACTACAGTTTTCACAAATACGTATTTACTGCAATTTATCTTGCATATTTCTTTTTGAATCGCGAATAAGTGTAAAAAATTTCATTCGAGAGATTAAGGAATTGAACCATCTTCTTGTCTTACAAATTAGTGCCATAATTGCCCAGGTATTTTAATGGGTGATGTTAGTGCCCTGCTTAAGTATCGACCACCCGTCTCTCAAGGAAACTGACCACATTTTACAACTCCGACATACTTCCAAACTGACTCATGCTCATGAAAGTTCATTCATATTACGCATACACCCTCCACATCTTCGCTATAATGAACTAGAACATCTAATACAAAAAATATGTTTATTTCTTCCCATCAATTTGAGTCAAGGGTCTTTTATCAATAGGATCTAAACACCCTTAGCATTTTTGAGGTATGAATCATTAGGATTTTTGATGAGGACAATGTAAAGTTTTTAGTGGTAACAAAAGCATGTGGATGTGTGTATTTAGAAATAAAAAGTTTATAATCCAGCTTTAGGTACATTTTCATAGAAATAGGTTAGTGCTAGTTAGGACTGTATTTATTTTACCAGGAGTGATATCAGAAAGGCACCATAAAATTTTAAATATTCTACGAAAACAATATTTAAATTCATCTGCATCGCACGTGTTTACTCTAAATGCTATATTTCTTAAAACTTTATAACATCGTGTACTTAGAGCTTATCGCCATAGAAATATAAACAAAGCTTCGCGCGCTGTCGTAAAACGTTGAGTCAAACTTATGGAAAATTCTATGAGAGAGACAGAGACAGGACAGGGCCCACGTGAGTTACGTTAACAATAGATTAGAAAAAACATAGGTACCGGGAAGGTAAAGGCGCGGGTCTCGCCCCCGCACACCTCCGCCGCTTGTCTCAACTCAGTCTGCACGAAAGCCTTCGTAGAGTCGAGCGTTTGTTTCTACCTCACTCATTTACGATATTGTAACTCATTTACTAAATAGATTACCGTTCAACGTAAGTAATTAGTAACAACGTGTTTCTGTGACTGTGTGAATATTAATTCAGTGTATTTCGTCACGACAGTTGCGTGTTATAGTGAGGACACCTGTTGCTCTAAGACATCTGACGTTTTCGCGCCGAAACCTTAAGGTTTCCTACTGAGGCAGTTGTTCGCTAGCTTTATTACAATAGTGAAGTAGTGTTATTACTATAGTGGATATAATAGGCATATCTCAGCGTGGCTATTTCACGTGCGGCGCTGAATTCAAATGAAAAGTTTCCCAATCCTACGTGTGTCGCGTACTTATTGCCGTATAGAGTTGTTTGTGGACACGAAGACAAATGTATATTTAGTTTGCGACCATTGTGTTTGCGATAGGTATGGAGATTGAATCCAAATGAGGAACTGAATTCGTTGGGTTAGTTGTGTGATTCGTGAGCGATGCGGACTACAGTGAAACGATGATCAAGTTTCGGTATAAACGTAAGGAGTCGAGTGATGGCGGCAAGAGCGGTACGGCTATACAGAAGCAGAAGATTGAGGGTCTCAGAGACCGGGAGTTGCTGCCACCAAAAGACATGCTGCTGACAGGCTCGCTAGCCGGAGTGAGGAACAACACACTCCCGCGCTCGCGACCCTCGTCGGCAGCGAGGCGCGAGCCACCCGAAACACCGCTCAGCCAAACCACTATATCGTTGTTTAGAGTAAGTTGCACTTAGAAAAACCATATTTGTGACCTTTACAGATTTTAATTCAATATTTCGATGTTCTGTGTAAAATCGGTTAAACATAAATTCCGCAAGAAAGAATCTTTACTAATGTAGGTAGGCAACATGTTTTGTAAATATTTGCGCATCTCTGTATTCATTACATATCAATGTCTATTGAATTGTAAATACTAGCTACAACAAGTAACTACTTTACAATCGGTAGCTTATTTCAATCACAAATCGAAAGGTTAAATTGACATTTGTTTTGTAGCGTACAAAAGACATCAACGATTTAGTTTTACAAATGTAGTCGTGTCGTTACCTCATTGATTGCTAATTGCACATGTAACTACTTATTAAAGCACGACCCGCGGTTTTACTGGAAGCTACATGGCTCATGAATATTAATATTAAGTCCTATTTAAATATAAAATCAAATTATTCGAACAAATTGAATTGCAGATCGAATGGGAACCCTTTACCATATTGATTAATCTTAAGTTTTTCTGTACTTCGTTCGATTAATATTAACGCAAAGTCTACAGATAATGTAAATTGATAGATTAGACGTCTGACACACATTGCAGAGTGTGAGAACCTTCAGTCATTTTCATGAGCCCTTTCAGTCGTAATGAAGATTTATTTGTACCTTTGTTGGTGGCAAGGAAGCTAGTAAATTATGCGTATTGCCTACCTTCAAGTATAATACAGGTACTTAATAAACTGAAGAAGAATAAGTTGTCGATGCGTTACTCGTCGTTGACCCTTCTAAAGCTATTGTGTCGATGCCTCCAAAGGCAATTTGTCTCGGGAATACATAAAATGCCCACTTAAGTATGTATGCGCAACCGTCGCCGTCCTCCGGCGTAACGCGCGTCTTGAATTGAGTATTGTCTCTTCGTGACATATGCCAACAATATATTGAAACTTATTCCTTATATACTTTATTATTCATATTTCAAACACGCGCATACTTTACGCTCACTTCAGATTAATATTCAAGCGATAGATCAAGCTTTGTGTTCAGGAAATTAACTTATTTGATATCAACTATCAACAGTACCTACAACTTTGAATTAAACATAATATATGCTATAACTTTAACTTTGTGGTAGAGTAAAAAATCGGTTGTCTCAAGTTTCGTGAAAAGACATTTGTTCGAATGCTTTTAACAAGTTAGATAAGAGCGTTTAAATGGGCTGACCGATTTGAGTCATAAGTACAACGATTTTTAATAGAGTTTTTAAAAATGACTCATTTAACAGCATGCTATTTATGTCTATTAAATCACGCATAGGTAGTAATAGACACAAAAGTGAAGACAAATGTGCACATTCTCCCCGTATCTGCATTTATTTTCCGTGTCAAGATGCGACAGGAAATAAAAAAGGGAATCTCACGCTTTTTTACACATATATGGCACAAATTTCCTAGTTTTCTCGCTTCGTATTGATAGATTGGAGAGGGGAGCTGCCACAGCCGCAGCCACAAGAAGCAGGGTCAGGGCGCGGGGTTCACCGCATCATTCTCACGTAACAAAGGCTGCAGTTCGCGCTGTAGCCGCGTTCTCACCCGCCGCTGTGTTGTGCCACTAATGTCATATTTATGATGCATTAGTTCCGGGTTTGATCATTACACTTTGTTTACACAAAAGCCATAAATTTAAAGACGTATACGAACTACGTAATCAGTGCGTTTGTATGCAGCCACAACGTCCTCTATAACCGTGTATGGATGATCGTCATTGCGATCTCTTGGACTTTAGACGTTTATTTATCTTACTGTAATATTCGCAATCAGCCAAGACCGGTCCTGGTTTATGTGTTGTGGAGGTCTCTAAACACGTTAACTCTGAAATTATATTTATGTCTTTTTTAAACACTAATAAACTATTCGCTTGATAATATCCTTATTGTCAAGCTGAATAAAGGTTTAGAACGTGTAGAAAAGAGTCTAGTTTTATTTTAAATTATTCACGTCTCATTTAGTTACCAACATTGAACCATCAATTAACCGCTAGTTAACAGCGTTGAGTGCCAACCTAAAAAAGTTACATAAAACACCTCGCAACTAAACTGGAAAGATGGTAACGTCAGTTCATTGTTAATAATACAAATTGCAACGAATAAGTTCTAACAAAAGCTGTGTGTTTTATCAGTTATCATAATCAGCAATCAATTAGCACGCCCGTTTCTGTTATCGTACGCAAGTTTCCTGTGCAAGGAATTACTTTTTGCATAAGTTTTTTCACGTTACAAAGCCGTTGACCGGCAAACGGGTTTGTCTGTCTAAACAGAGTCTAGGATTTTGACGTTGCGGTCCTGGTCCTACACTTACATTTCGTACGCGAAAGACTATTATGTACCAACTAAAACAGTCTACATTTATACAATTTACTCGGCACTTCACGTAAAAAACTTATAATTACAATGATAATATCTTATCTAACACCATTGCCATTCATAGCAACTAGTTCTATTGTGGATTATAAAGATAAACACGATCACAGTATTTAGGTTGTTTAAATTAAACGCCGGTAACATCGTGTCTTGTTAAGCCATGTTTATAGAGCCGTGTAACGGAAGGCCCATGCGCAAGCTGCGTCCGCTGTGCACCGGGAAATACGCGATTTAAACAACTCATCTTGAACTTTTAATAAATGGTATTATAATTTTTCTTTCATAACAAAATGTGATTTATTGTGAAATTAAGCTTTTGTTCTACAGATAATGTTACCGTCGTTGTGTGACTACCTAGAAATATAGTTACACTTTATTTAAACTGTCAAACACCAAGCGGTCACCGGTGACCGCAACCTATTGTTCTTTAATTGTGTCTACAAAACCGGTACTCGACGAGTTAATAGGTCGTTAACTCACGAATCTCGACTGCGGTGTTTTCTAGATATTTTCCTATGTGACATTGATAAATTTAATCAAACTAACTTAAAACAACTTAACTTTAATATTAATAACTTTTGATATTCTAACGGTTACGACATCATAAAAACAAGATATATATCTACGTTTGTAGGTACCTACGTCAAATCACCTCGGCCGGGTCACGCCATGTTTGTGACCTATACCTTAACTCGTATTCGTGCCATACTGGTTTTGTTCCAGTCTCGAATTAATTCTACTACTTCAATATTCAATCTTACTGTATAGATCTTAAAACACAATCTCATATAGCGGCTCGTCGACCGCGACTTTCTTTTACGCAGAGCCTGTAGTGGCCCCGTGTTTTCGAGAAAACTTTTGCCGAATCAAAATATGTATTTTAATTTATTGCAATTGGAAATTATGTCAAGTATTTTCGGTTTAGTTTTACATTTTATTTCAAGGTTCACTGCCAGGTACAATAATTGTTCATGCTCGCTTACGTACTCCCTTGAACTTTTATCTTTTGTTGCGTACATTGTATGCAAACTATGTATATTAATTAAAAGTAAATACAGTCAAACTAAGTTTTATCATTGTTTGTTAACAGGAATTGTTTACTCAGCTGCAATGGTCTGCGGAGCGCGCACCAGCCGCGGACGGCCTCCGTCGAGCGCTGGGTGGCGGTGGCGCTCGCTTCCAGCTGGGCTGCATGGCCGACGCCAGCGAGTGCTTCGAGCACTTACTTCTCAGAGTCCACGCCCACGTGGCGGCCGGCTCCGGTGACCGAAGAGACGATGACGCCTGCAGAGCTCCGCACTGTGTACCCCACCGAAAGTTCGCCATGATGCTAGTCGAACAGTCTGTATGCAGCGCCTGCCAAGCTACGTCCGAACCTTTGCCATTCACTCAGGTGAGTTTTCTACCCTGGAACCTTTAAGTAACAGACGCTAAAAATCCAGATATTCTTCTTTTCAACTTTGTTATTATTATTATGCACTCAATTAAATTTTGTGCAAAAAGTTTATTTCCAAAATTAATAATGATATGACATCCTTCCAGATGGTCCACTATGTGTCAGCTACAGCTCTAACCGCACAAGCTGCGCTGGGTGAACACGGAGACAGCTTTGGGCTGCTACTAAGAAAAGCAGGAGGAATGGGCGACATTAGAGACTGTCCGGTGAGTATTCACTAAATATAATAACATCAAACTCTTATTCGAGAATATTAAACTAGAATTTATTTATGGAGTAGTGGAATATTAATAGTACTCGACGTAATTTAGAATGTTTTAGAACGATATCATACAAAAATAACATTGTGAACTTCTTATTTTTTTAGAATGCTTGCGGAGCAAAAATTCAGATATGCAGAACGCTAATGAATCGTCCAGAAGTGGTGTCAATTGGCATGGTCTGGGATTCCGAGAGACCGTCGGCGGAGCACGTGGCGGCGGTGTACAGCGCGCTGGGCACGGAGCTGCGGCCTACGGACGCCTTCCACGCCTGCGTGGACCGCGCCTGGGCAGCGCGCGCCACGCACCGCCTCGTCGGCCTCGTCACTTACTACGGCAAGCACTACTCCACCTTCTTCTTCCATAGTAAACTCCGCCTATGGATATACTTCGATGATGCGGATGTTAAAGAAATAGGTCCGGAGTGGTCACACGTCGTAGAAAAATGTCAAAGAGGACGATTCCAACCGCTCCTCCTGTTATACGCTGCGGTTGATGGAACGCCGTGTGACACTCGTCATGCTCCAAAAGATGTAGTTCCATTCCCGGCGCCAGAACCTCGCCGAGCAGTCACGCCAGCTCCAGAGCGGCCAGCGACAGGATTCGCTCGACGAGCAGTCACTCCAGGCCCAGATAATGAAAGTGATTATGTCAGTAGAAAAGCCGTGGAGAATATGTTAGAAGTTCAAGCCAATCGTCGAGCACAACTCAATCGGAGTTTGAGCACTGGCTCAGGGTCAGATAGTCAAGAGCGGCCACGAGCACGACGAGACTCTGGTAACTGGAGTGGCGATCGCAACAGTGCGTCATCCGCTTCCTCGTCGACGGCAGAGAGCCCATACATGTATCCTAGAGGTCGAGGAGCGGGTAGCGTTCCAGGCAGTCCCACGCGTAAAGGGGAACTCTCAAGTGGAGGTTCTTGTGATGCTGGATACGACTCATATTCTCTGTCTTCTACAGACAGTCTACCTCTGCAACAAGGCCTACGCCACAACTTGCAACTGGCTCAAATACCAGAAATAACTACACGAGGTGAATGTGAAGCACTTTGCTTGGAAGCCGACAGGCTGCTAGAAAAATCTCGCAATGCAGAAGACTCTGCTGATTACGAAACAGCGCTAGTACTTTGTGACGCTGCTGCATCTAAAGCTCGTGCGGCAATGGACGCGCCTTACAACAATCGTCACATGGTGACTTTTGCTCGTATGAAACACAATACATGTGTAATGCGGGCACGTAGTCTCCAAAGACGAATGGCGGGAATGACTAGGGTAACGGAAATTCCTCAGGCTGCTCCTATAAGAAATACTAAGGGTGGGCTTGAAGCGTCGCCTATGACTATTGAAATCTATGCCACATTACCCAAAAAGAAGGGTTCTTCTAAAAAATCACCCAAATGTATTGATGATGATATAGATACAGTGACACGGGAGCGTCCCCCGAGGCACAAATCTAGAGAGGATGATAAAGTAAGGGAAAAGCGATCTAGAAGTGAAGATCGAAGTCGTGCTCGGAAAGAAGTTCCTGTGGTTAAAGCTGCTGAGAAAAAAGAGGAAACCGCTGAAGATAAAAAGGCCAACAAGAAACAGCATAAAATTCGAAGAAAGCTTTTGATGGGTGGCCTGATACGAAGGAAAAATCGATCAATGCCTGATCTGACAGAAGGTGCTGACGGTAACAACGAGGCAGCTAACAAAGAGAAGCGAGTCTCTTCCGTCGACGATACGGAAGTTGGCAGGACGACTGAAGATAAAACAAACCTAAGTGGCTATTTATCTGAAGGGCACTTAGAATACTCAGTGGCGAGTGGTACTAATCCTAATCTCGAAAGGAGTAAACTTATGAGAAAAAGTTTCCACGGCAGTGCAGGTAAAATGTTGACGGCCGCAAAAGTTCCACCACCACCGCCACTTCGAACGACTTCCCAACTCACAGGGTCTAAGTACACTTATTCAGAACATGGAAAAGGTACATATCCAACAGAAATTGAAGAAGATGGTGGATTCTCGGAACAATATGGAGATGAACCACATTCGCTCCCGTTCTTACATCCGTATGACGACAAGTCCAACAGTCATTACGATAGGTTAGATACGTCACCAGCTCAAAACTTCCACACAGTAGTGACGAAGGCTATGATCCACCAAGAACAAAGTCCGGTGAAAAGAGAAACAATGCAGCCTATGATGCCCTCTCAACATACGATTCAAAATCTGACGCACACCTTTGATAATGGAGTTGACGTGGTAGACTGCGCAATTCCAATGCCATCGCGGAGATCTCCGACTATGTTCGAACTTCCTCCATACCCGAGTCCCATGAATTCCGTAAACCATTCACGTCAGCCTAGTGAAGAATTTCCCCCACCTCCACCGCCCATTGATTTAACGCCACTCCATGATGAACTTGAAAAGATTCAAACAGTTAATGAAATGTCAAATGATCTGGAGGTGGCAAAAGGCACTTTATTAGCAAGCTTGCAAGAGAAAAGAAATCAAATCTTAAGAAATGAGCAGTGTGCTCCACAAATAGCTCAGGTTGAAAAGCTAAACGTCCACCCATCTTTGCTGAAGGAGCTGCAAGCGAAGCAAGCGTCTTTCAAGTTAAAGAGGTCTGGTTCTTTAGAAGGACAACTATCAAGTTCTGTAGACGCCCATAATCTCTATGAAACCAGTAGCAGCGTAAGAAATATTGCTTCAAGATTTGAAAACAACACTCAAAATTCGTCACAAGACGCCGATAGAACGCATATAGGTTTCGGCATGAGCGGAAACAGAGATGTCATAAATTGCTCAGATCAGTCTAACGCTGGGCTCAATCGGAGAGCTTCAGCGTCATCTATTGATCCCAAACAAATAGAAGAGGAACAATGTGACCCGAAATGTACTAACAATACGTACGGCGACCGATCTAAACCCAAGAAGAAATCTGTATCTTTCTGTGACCAAGTCATCTTAGTGTCTACAGCTGAAGACCAAGAAGATGACAGTTACATACCGAACCCTATCTTAGAGAGAGTTTTGAAATCCGCGATGAACAAGCCTGAGTTGACAACTATGCCTCTCCAGTCGGAGAAACCGTCGCTACAACGACAAGACTCCTTTGACAGTCAGTCATCTCGCTCGACGATATCCTCGTTATCTCAAACCTCGTTTGTTCCCAGCGAGAACTCACACGCAGAGTACGTCAGATTACAAAACAATTATCCAGCGTATCAAATGCCGCCAAATCGTTTACAACAGCAGTACAATGCACAAAAGAATAATAGTGTTTACGGTACGAACTCGCCGGTACAAACTACTCCAAATCAAAACGGAGTAAATAGTAATCAGATTTACCAAACACTGCCAAATAATACGCAACAGAACACCACCAGCCCTATACCGTACAACCAGCCGCCGTCAGTTTACCCCAATCATAGCAATGCTAGCCCACCGAACTTTAGCCAAACTCCTGCCAACAGACTGACGCCGACGCACAACCCCGCATACATGTCTAAGCACCCCGTTAACCTGCAGAGACCCGCAACCACCGCGGGCCACCCAGCCTCTCAGCTGCACTCCATGAACCAGGCCATCAACAACGCGTACTACCACAGAGTCCCTCAAACATCCTGCCCTTCGACGATTCCCAGCAACAACTACTCTACGAACCGACAGTATGGCCACAATATGCCAAACACCAACCATTCGCCTTATCAAACCGTGCCCACCAACTCACCAGCATACCAGAGCTACCACAACCCACCGACAAGCTATGCGAGCTCCGAATATTCTAGTCGATATCCACAGGCGAACAGTACCAACCATTACACTCAGTCACCGTATCAAAGAGTGCCGCCGCCACACGGCGATGTACCTGTAGAAAACTATAACGCATTTCCACAAAAAATGTCTAACAACTACTATGTAGACAACCAGTCTGGCCAGCAGCGAGTCCAAGAGACGAGGCACTACGCCAACACTCAGCATCAGCGCTCCGTGTACAGCCAAAACATGAATGTAGATAGTAATGTAAACAGCGAGCAAGTGGGCCAGTACCAGTATGCTCAGAACGGTTACAATCCGTATCAGCACATGCCACCTCCCAAACAGATACAAAAGAAATCCGTGTCGTTCGAGCCAGGCACGAAGGGCGGCACGGACTCACCCGTACCGCCACAAATGAACGGCAGCCCGCCTTACCCGGCCGGCGACGCGCAACCCATGCAGAAGACAGTATGCAACTTGTGTCGTAAGAAGGCTATCAACCCACCGGCGATGTATTGCCCCGATTGTGATTTTTATATGTCTAGGTTCAAACCCCGCTCATAGCAATAACTTGCGTTAATCGCAAAGTATACTCAATAGTGTAACTATTCCAACCTTTGTATTTAGATTCAACCCATATGGGACGTTAGTTATTGTATGTACCTATGTATTAATAATGTTAATTAATAAAGCAGATTATTAAATAGTTTATTGTATTAAGGCTTGACTGATCTCATGTGGGAAAATATTTTATAAACTTTGCAGAATTATAATTTGTAAGTTTTTATCTATTTCTATAAAGTGCCTTAAAGTAGACGGTATTTTCTAATATAAATATTGACATCAACATAGTAAGATGAATAAATTATTTCCAATTAAATGTCTGAGTTTTATTACATGGCAGTATTTGCAACACAACATCGTTTATGGCATACAAAATATGAATAGAAGTACAGAGCCCGATACCTGTGCTAGCCATACTTCTCAAAGCATACAACTACTCTACCTACACACCACACCAAGTGTGTTAAGCATGATGTTCGATTGGTGGATGGTTCTTAGTCAGAAAGAGTCTCATTTGCCTTTGTGGCGAAGGCGCACTAGTGTTTAGAAAGTCCGGGTGGGCCCTCAATTCACACGCACATCACTAAATGTCACACACACCGTGTTATGAGACCTAAGATGGCTAAGATAGATAGATACCAAGGTGAGGGAGTGAGAATGCAGATCCCAATAATGAAAAAATATATCGGGGATAGTGTAAATCCGCGGAACTAGCAATGGAAAATTCCGTCTATCTGACAAATGTAGCTAATTCAAGTTTTCGCGGAAAAATCCCATAAAATCTTAATTAGTTGCCCCCACCTTGACATGATTCATTTTTAATATGTAAAAATGGTCTTCAAGTTCATTGAAATAATAAAGTTATTAAGTTTTAACCTACCCCTGTAAAACTGAGTCTATTGCGTTACGTAAAAAGTAAAGTAAGGTTAGACGCTTTGGCAATACGTAGAGATGTAGTACCACTGGGTGTGCTCCGAGGAATTGTTTGACCTGATACCTGCCGCATCTTTTCGCCATCGACCCTTACGACAGCATTTGCATTTTACATTTTGCATCCCCATCATGTAGATAGTTGGCAGGCCACAACTGTGCGCTTCTCACGTAGCTTTCTGACTTGCACAGCAAAACTATGGAATGATCTGATATTTCCGAACCAATACGACCATCAAACTTTCAACAAAAGATCGTATTCCTTTTTATTAGGCCGGCAACGCACCAGCCACTCCTCTTGTGTTGCGGGTGTCCATGAGCGGCGCTGATTGCTTACCATCAAGTGATCCGTCTGCTCGTTTGCCTCCTACTCTATAAAAAATGTAGGGTAGATTCGCGGTTTGCACTATCACCGACGAAATGTAATAAATGTGCGTGTGCCGCACCGAACCCGCGACAGGATACACAGCATCTGGTGGCCCACCCACTACACTACACGAACTGAGCTGCAAAAACTATCAGACTCATGAATCAAACATGAGCTCCCTAACTTGGCAACCGCGAAGTTGACCAATTGATGGAAGCAGTTGTCTGCAAATGACTTCATTACTCAAAGGGTTGCAAGATGGAACATCGACGCATGAGTCGAACATGAGTTCTCTAACTATTTACGTGCGGGAATCGAACCCGCGACTACAACTACTACGAGGTAGTCTCATCTTTCAAAGGGATGCCAAACACAAGGGATAATGACGTCATTTACCTATACATCGTTTTAAACTCCTAACTTTGGCCTATAGCCTGTACTTAACGACGAAATCAAACCACGTCTGCTCATGATTAGCGTTTATTGTAGACTCCACAAAAGTTTACTTACAATTACTTAGCACTACTTATGCTACATGCTTAGTACATATGTACGCGCACGTCAACTTAATGACAACTAGGTGTTCGTTTCCACCACGACAGTTCACGACATCCTTAAGACTTTAGATCCATAAGTTTTTGACAGAAAGGCCATAGGCCATAACGTTTTTTTTATGGGACAAGCCCGCCACATCTTGCCAAAACCGCTGCAACTCCTGTAAGCCAAGATCTACAGTAGCTAAAACTATGAAAACAAAACACCGGAGCACTGAAGTCTGGCCGCTTCCCAGGGACATGAATACCTGTCTTAGTTTCCGCAACGAAGTGAAGTGAATCAGAAGATATTATAAGAGAACAATTAATACCAAAAATCGATCTTACTCCAAGAATTTGGATTGCGATCGATTATTAATTTCGGAATTGTTCACGGAGTATCAAGGACCTCAATTTCAACGTCCTTGTTAGTATGTAATTCAGATTTAGATGCATAGATTTTATTATATAATTCGTGCCTCGTGGAAATGCGTAGATAGACATGTAAAGTGCATATGCGTGTTAAAAAAAGGTTACGTGATCATCTTTACAGGTCACTGACTTAAATAACTAACACTGCCATCTATAGCTGCATTTTAAAACTTCAAACTGAGTACTCTAGATAGGTAAATTATACATAAACTGATAGATGGCAGTAGTGTATGAATATGATGCTTTAATCTTTTTAAGTTTTCGTATAAACTGATTAAGCTTGCAGGACAAAATTAAGCATGTTATTTCTATTATAAAGGCCCTTAAAAACTGATCAAAAATATTTTTATATGACAGGTTGTGACAAGTAAATAAATATAATTATAATAATCAAATAACCGCATGAAAATTTAAGCTTTCGCGGGCCTCGCCACGCATTCATAAATGAGTTGGCAATCCATATTTGGTAGAGAATTAAAGAGCTATTTATTTATAAAACGCTTTTTGTAGTAGTTTGATGTTCTTTTGGCCATAATTTAGATAACAAGATAATTTCAATGTAGCTTATAATGTATTTAAGTTTAATAAAAATATTTTAATTTTATGGAGTGGTATCACCAACTGTGATTTTGGTGATACCAGATCCATTGACAATTCCCTCTAATGAGGAGTTACGAGTCAAATGAACGATAAAAACTTTATTAGATAAATTAACGTCACTCTCTTCGATTTTAGGTTTTTTTTTTCACACTATATGAATGTTCATCAAATCATCACAAAGCATTTTTTTTTACCTAACAAAAATCAAAGTCTATCTAAAGTGAACATAATTAATTATAAATTTGAGATAAAATCGTGAATTAACGTAGATATTGAAATAATAATTTAATAAAATGAGGCAAGGTTTCAACTCAAACAAAATAAACTTGGATGTTACTTGCCGTAGTTGGGTGTTTTGGTTGTTATAGCTTGTAACACTGAGGAGTTCTTCAAGTTGGCAGTTGTTCTTTAATGGCGACCACGGGTGACGGGTCGTTTGTCTGGAAACTGTCACTATTTATTTAGATTTTTAAGTGTAGGTTCTGTGTTTACGTAAACATGACGGGGATTTTACCTACCTATCAGCGATTTGTAAATGGAGTTCCTGTACCGTCCATTTCTCGGCGTTCGTTCCGCCTACGAGAAAAATATTTGATTGTTTCTGTACTTTTGACATTCGGGATCGTGTGGTTAGGAGCATTATTCTACTTGCCAGAGTTTAAAAGTTCAAATAGTGTGAACGATAGTGTTTACAATGTATACAAAAGAATTCAGAAAGCTGGCCCAGAGCTGCTCATGCCGCCTCCTCTTGCACAAAACGATGTCGGTGACTTTCCTGTGATTGGGATGGCTCACCATGGTGAAGGAGGTGATGATCCTCACGTAGTTGAAGACAGGAACCGGCTACGAGCTAAGATAGAGGAGGATATGGGAATGAAAGTGTTAGAGAGGCCTCAGTTTGACGTAGCACCTTCTGTGTCGTCTTCGCGAGGGCCCAGCAAACCGCCAGTAGATGCGATTGAGGAGCCTGCGGCAGGGAACAATGCAGCCAATAAAGACGTGTCACCAGCGGGCCCGAAGGCTGAGAGCTCGGACAAGTTTGTGGCTGTGGCCCTGGCACCAGGAGCGGACCCTGAAGTCAAACACAAGCTGGAGTCTGTCAAAAAGGTGAGTCATCTATTGTGTACATATTTAGCTTTAGAGTAAGCTACACTGTGGTTGGTCTGTTATGATTATGGAACGAATAATTTGTGATTAATTATAGAGCGTGACTAAAAAGTAAATTAGTATTACATGTTAAATATTATTACTCTCATTAAGCAGTGCTGTGATATAATGACTTACACAATTAACTTAGAACTTGCACAAATGGTCTGTGGAAGTTTTTCATAGAAATTTTTACCCTTCACTGTATTGCTCTCCTACTATTATGTTGTTAAATAATTAATCGTAACAAATTACTGTTTTGATACTGAAAACAAATAGCTGTTTTCAGTATCAAAACAGTAATTTGTTATCTCATCTGATTGATAAATACTGCATACTTTTTACACCTGAACATTAATTCATGACTTAAATTCCTTGATATTTTTTATTTTATTACTCTCGTAGTTTTATTATTCTATTAATTGAACAATAAAATAGCTCTGCACAATAAGACAACTTATTAAAGAAAACCGGACGGTGAACAAACACTCTTAGCAGATGGCAATCTTTTGTTAAAATTAACAAAATTGATGGCTTATTATATATATACATTTTCAATTTTGTTATTTCAATTGACTTTACTAAATGATAATTATATTCATAATAATACACAAAATACTCACCTCTATCTCTAGAAATAACTAATACATACACAAGTAATTTGCATTTTTTTAATATTTACTTGAATTGACATTACTTATAAACATATACCTTTTTGAAAAAGAAAATTAATAAAAAAATAAATACAATACATCAAATATCTACCTCAAAATCCAACTTACCTCAATTCTCTCTTTATAGACAAACCTGCTTAGGTTTACTTTGCACTAAAAGTGTATTAGATAAAGTATTTACTAAATCCAATTAATAACTGCTTAGATTAGTGTTACCACGTAATAAAAACACTAGTTAGTATGTTGTGTAAACTACTCCACTTAACACATAGCCTTGACTTGAAAGAAGCTCAACAAATGAAAGTGTAATCAATACTACTAGTTAGATTATATCTACTACATATATAAAATCTGATATCAGTATTATCTAATGACCTCCTTGATACTTTAGTGGTGATACACCCGTGATCTACCTAGATTTTTAGTTTGATTAATATTTTCGTTGTTTTATTAAATTTTGCAATTTGTGCGATGTAGTGTGTAATTTACTTTGTAATGATGTGTGAAAATGATAATGATATAGTTATAAACATTTAACTAAAACAATGATGTTTTTGGGACATGCAAAAAACTCACATTGCGTGTTTTGTAATCTTATTAAAATGATTTCATGAACTTTGATAGTTCCTGGCTCCTCGACTATTTTTAGTCCACTTATCAGTCACTTATGATAAGACTTGCAATATTTAAAGAACAAAAGAATGTTCGAGTAACGTCTTTTGCTAAGTGGAGTTATTTCACGGCCATGGCCCCATTTCTGAGCTCTCTAGTCTTGTTTATCCTACACACAGTTATAAAAAGCTAATGGACAGATTCACATTGGCGCCACACACTGTAAAATAATACACAATTACCTATGTCTACACTGTCTACAGCTGAAGTAAATATTTAGTTACTGACATCATTCTGTTCTGAATTTTTGTTATACTAGATGCAAAAATTGCCTTTACAATTAGCAGTAGTAAGCAGTTAAAAACACTTGACATTACTAAATATAACTAACAATGCTAAAGAAGAAGAAGGATGACGACCTGGTTAATTAACTATCTGAGATTTAAATCGGTATCTAACTGCGATACTCAGAGACATTAAATGATTACTTAAACTATTCCTTAGTAACGATTTTGTTCCGAAAACAATTGGGTACTTTCCTTAATCAAAAATAAATTATTTCGACTGCACAATACAATAAAATTAAAAAATAACCACACTGTTTTGAATTGATTTTGTGACCAACTTATTTTTAGTATCTTATTTTCCAGCAAATAATTGAGAAATAAGTACTTATGCTGCTAGACGTAAAAAAAACGTGACGTCACAATTCATAATCTCGTACAAAATTCATAGTAAACTCGTTCGATAAAAGTATTGAATTTGACTAAGTAGTTGTCAGGTACCCAATTGCTAAGGACTGGGTTAAGTAGCCATTAAATGACTCTGAGTATTAATGAAATTAATTATTTAAATTACATCAGGTGTATCACTTAACTACCTACTTGACTTTACCATGCAAGTGTTATGGAAAACTAGCCATTCCTGCGCGGCTTCACTCGCTGGTCGGCGCCTATTGGCTGTAGCGTGATGTTTTATATAACCTATCGCCTTCGTCCAACACACAAAGAAAAATTTCAAGGTATAGATAATAACTAATTTCTTTGTAACCTAGAAAAAGGTTTTGATTCATCCTATCCATCTTCGATCTTGGGATTTTCTCAAAATCTTGTTCTATGATCTTTGGGTTGTTAAAAAAGTCATTATTAAAGTATTTTTCATTGTATAATAAATCGCAGTTGTGTATAATTAAGTACACTGCAGAAAAATAATAATCGGCAATCTTATTGTGGATAATACGGCATTCGCAGTGCTCAGGGTCGTGTGATAATCTGCCGTGGCTAATCACACAGCCGGCGACTCAAACATGTTAATGTAATGCCGCGAACCATGACGATATCCTACCGAATCATTTGAAAGTTAATTCGTGTGTGGCAGTCACTATAATCTTATATGACATCCGAATACAATGAACCGATCACCGGAATTGCAATTGGCAACCTAACTGAGTCTTAACAGAAGAATTAATGCGCCCGCTTTCACCCACCTCTTTAATTTTAAGGAATCTCTAAACTAAAGTACACTAGCTGTCAGGTAACACTTAACGTCATTCTGGTTTTCACCACCTTTAAGTGACACCTAACCGCTTAGGGGACATTTAAATTTTAGGTAGCCGAGGTACCTACTAGGCGCTGCCTGATGCCTAACTTAACAGTAATGGTCTGAAATACGTTTAATAATGATCTGCACCCAACTCGGATGTAAAATTAACTATTAAGGATTGGATTGACTAAAAAGGACTATGTCCAAAAATCTTTATTCTTATAGCACGTTGAGACCTACCTAGTTGTGACAGGTCTTAGCCATCTTACAATTGACAGTGAAACTGAAATGTCTATCAGAAAAAGTTAACATCTACCTACTTGAAGCAAGTTATTGGATTTTTACCATGAGGCATGCATTTGGCAATCAATCGGAATGAGGCAGATGGATTAGTGCATCGTACGGTGTTTCACAGGGCTCCGTATTAGGACCTCAATTGTGAAACATCGAGTACGAGTTGTTGCTAAAAGTGAGGTGAGGTGAGGTGAGCTCCCACCAGCTGTCTACCGACACATCAGACGCCTCCGTATCTTCTAACGACGTTAGTAGCGCCGGTCGTAAGAAGATTAATTTAGAATTTAGATCTATGTATTATTGACGAGCCTATTGGACTTAGTTATTTATCAAAGTACTTAATTGTTTTTAGAATAATGCTATCTGATCTGACTATTAGAAGCAGAGGTGTGACGACATTACATCAAAATTCTCTAGAATTGAATAATACCATATTCGGTTTTACTTTTCATAGCTTTAGTAACTACTTTGATAAGAAAAGTAAAAGAATTAGCGATAAAAATGGTTATTGTAAGTCAGAGTCACGACTCGATTGCTTAATTATTAAAAAAATGACGAATTAACAAAAGCCCATGTCAATTTGACTAGGTAGTTAAGTGTTAGATTAGTTATACCTACTGTTTAAATCTAGACATTATTTAAAACTCCCAAAATTGATCGCTTTCTGTCAGTGAATCTAGGTAATGTATGCGTGTCTAGGCCAAAGCAAACACTAAAATATCGTCGCCAAGAAATATTAATAACTACCTAGGTATGTTCTGCTCTTACGCAAGTCATTCGCAATAGTTTAACTAGGTAATGTCTTAATACGTCGCACACTAGTTGTTACAATCTGCGAATCCAACGCTTCGCGATTGCAGGCATCAAGTATCACGCGACACAAATGCGCAGAGTTGATAACACATCGAGTTCTGTGCATACACGCACTGAATTAATTTTGATAACGTAGGCTCAGCCTGGACCTAGTACAAAAATATCTCATTCCGACTAAACAAGTCCAAGGAGTCTAGTGTTAGTACCTACGGGTACTCAAGTAGCATTTCTTGCAAACTTGCATGTGTGTGTGGGCCCTTTGGCACTATTTCGTATTGAGCGCTGACCGGACACTAGCGCCTGCGCCGGCTTCGCAACGTGCCTCCAGGCACCAGGCGCGCACGCATGCGTCGCAAGTGAAATCATTTGTTTATACTCGCATGACTTACTCGTTCTACTCGTCTGACTTGAATTAGTTACTATGAATGCAAATACAATATTCATTAAAAACGGTTTTGATTCACTTCGTTTGATTGTGTGTAGAGTTTATTCTACTGTGTCGCTGAATTTATTCAATGATTATTCTAAATCTTAGGTACTTATAGGGCAGATAGGTGGGGGCCTTATTATAATTATGACATAACTACTTACACAAACAAAATACATATATACTTAATTGAAAATTCGTGAAAACTATTATAGAAATATCTTGTAACCATAATGTCTTATTTCTTGCTTCCTTTTTAAGATGGTTAACATATTTAATGTTTTTACATGATAACTTTACGCAGCCGGTTTTGAGTCGTGCTGTTCTGGTTCCGCCAAGCAAATATTATCTGTACCATCAGCGAAGCATTTAAAGGCTACAAAAATTCCCTATCCTTATTCGGCTATCGATTTGATTGCATCACTCAGTCCCAAGTTTGTTGTCATCGTGATGCCTGGTAACCTGAGCAAACATCCAATCAGTATTATTCCAGCTATCGGCAAGTTTGTGATAATATTTGAACAGCCGCTGTGTAACTAACGGCGAAGTTAATTCTATTCATTTTAATGCCTTGTTCTTGATAACGTATTGTGTAGTGC